TTTTTTTTTTCAGCTTTCAGATGCCTGGTGTATTTTTAATTGAAGCTATCCTTGCTCTAACCTTGCTATACATGTTTGTTATTCTTTGTTCCTCAGGATGGTGGAGCAGACTTCAGTTCACTCGGTGCTCAAGACATTTGGACAAGTGTATAAAGTCCCACATGACGTGTGCCGACTCATCCACACCCGTGTTGCTCTGCGGGTGGAGTTAACATTGGAGCAGCTCAATGTGGACAAACGTCTGTGGGACTTTCACGAAAAACTGATCCCCAATGTGGACAAGGTTTTAAGGAGAGCGGGACTGCTGAGCTCAGAGGGACAGAGCTGAAGGAGGAGAGAAATTGTGCTTTTCTTTTTTTACAGCCACATTTTTGGTAAACATGCAGAATGCCAATCTAAGGCACCTACAGCTAAGGCTACACAGGTGTATGTACTGTGGGGAAAATAAGTATGTGATACTCTGATATATACTTTCTTGCTATAAAATAAATGAATTAAAAATCATACAAAGTAAGTGTGTTCACCACGTCATCACCAGCAGACAGCACACAATATCAGACTTGGGACACATTTAAAAAGCAACATCATTTGGAAACTATTTATTGAACATTTGCAACCAGATATCAGTTAAATACAGAACTTTCATGTTTTTCTCTCTACATCTCCTCGACAGCAGGGACTGGCTCCACTTCGTTACACTCTGAGAGGAGGGAATGTTACAGGACTTGGTAAGGCGCACACTGTGCTGGAAGTCATTTGGCTTTCTGTCGTCAGATAGTGAAGAGAAATAAAATCTTTTGTTTGCTTTCATGTCCAGCACGGTTTCCTCTCCTTTCCCTGCAGCTACTTCACCTGCGCTCAGGCGTTTGTTTTTTTTTCTTCTTCTGTCAATCCTGCGCAAAACAAACAAACAGGAGGCGAGAAGAGAAAACCAGTGTAGACGGTAGAGAGACACACTCCTAGAGGGTAATGTCTTGCGCACGTGTGTAGCAACGATTTGAAAAAGCTAAAAGTAAAATGATCAACATGAATATATTAGAAAAAATGGCAATTAGTTTTATTAATCAACACCTCGCCTTACCTACTCCCAACCAAAGACCAGGGTTATAAATTAAAAACTGTCCAAATAAAAATCAATCGATCAAAGACTTTGGGCCCATTCTGTTCCACTTCAAGACTGGAAAAATCCTCATTTTACAAAAACAAATGGCACTTTTCAGTCTCTTGAACTGGAATCTAGAATCTCGAAAACTCCAACGGAATCGACCCCCAACCCTTAAAAAAAAAAAAAAAAAAATCAACTCTTTCTAATTTACAAATAATGGGTCATGTGATCTTCAGGCGCCCACTGTTCTAGCAGTGGCTACAGTCAGGAGCGTGGACTCCGTGGGAGGACTCTGCGGGGTCTCCGGGGCTAGGCCACGGTCTTGAAGGTCTGCAGTATGAGGTTGGTTTGGTGGATGAGCTGGTTTGCACTGATGAAGACATTTATCGCCCTGAAAACAGAAGTAAAACAAATGAACTACTAGTGACCTACTTCTGGTAACTTGGACTTCCTTAGACTTTAACCTGAAACCTTGCAGACCCAAGTCCACTTCCTTAGGGTGGGCATACACTGTACGATTTTAGCCCGTTTTTGACCCGATTTCTGAGACACACGACCTGGCGACACTCGGCCCGATTTCCAGTTTTGTCTTTTCGGGCGCCTTTTTCACTGTACAGTGTACAGGGGGTGTAACGAGGGCCAATTATCTGTTCCCGAACCACCGTTGGACGGTCTGAAGAATTTCTGACATGTCAGAAATTTTGGTTGGCCGACAAATTCTTTTGCACAGTGGAAGCAGAGCCCCGAGCCGACCGGAGCATTTCTCCCTCAGTGCACCTGCGCAAAGTGATAGTAACCATGGCCAGGCGTCGGTGGCATGAAAATATGGAGGTGAGATTGATAGAGCTGTGGCACTGACCACAATGAACGTAATAAATAATAAATAATAAATAAACAATAAACGTACTGTCCACATTTTTTGAGCCATCTCCGACTCCAGATGCAGCTTTGGTTGAAAAATGACCCTCACAGATGTATTTACTTTACTGCTCCTTAAAACTGGTTTGGCAGTCTCGAAATGGAAGACCCTCTGAAGTTAACACACACCTGTTGCAACTTAAATGGCAAGTAAATATAAAGATGGGCAACTACTGACAATAAAATTCCTATACCCTTTCCAATATTTATCTCACCCTTAACTGACCCTTTAGCTAACAAAAACAAAAAACATATACATAATCACATTACCAAGCTTGGCAGATCTCCCAGGTCAAACAGGACTTTGGAGTTGTTTGAAAATTTTGAATTTCAGTTCAAATACACAAATGGATTAAGATAACTGTAAATAAAAAAAGTTTAAAAAATGTAGGTCGAATACTACAGCTTTTATAAACACAATGACACACCTAAACTATTCATGAGTTTTTGTCCCTGAAACCTATCACAGTTGGAGCAAGGAACAAGCCCTGTGCCCCGGTTGAACAGGTCAGCAGCCTGGTTGTCCCTCAAGATGAGATGGCACTAACCCAGAAAACAATAAATAAGTATTGTCCTATAACTAGCATCAGCATCAGCATGACATGAAAAAACCTGAAAAGGCTCATGATTACAACCGACAGTAAAGACTTTCGCCACCACAGGAAGTAGTCCAGGAAATTAGGGACAATACCGAGTTGTCCCTAAAATGGAACCAGACACTTTACAGTCTCAAAATAGTTTGGCTTCAGCACAAGTTTACCTGCTGAATATTTAAAGAACTCGCCACTGTTCCTTTTAGTCACTGTTTTTAAATCACCAAAGGTGGCAAAACAAAAAAATTTAATACAACTTTTTACCCCCTGAACAGTTGACTTACTTTCCATCTTTGAAGTATGTTTTAAGGGTGTCGCTGAAACTTTTGGAGTATTTCACAAACTCCTTTTTCTGATGTTCCAGAGCCTGGATGAGCAGAGAACAACGGCATCAGTGAGAAGGGAGACAAAGAGATGAGATGTAGTGGAAAAGTGCCTTTGTGGTACTCACTCTACGATTCTGGTACTGATACTTCTTAATGACGTTGTTGACCGTGTCCAAGAGCTCTTTTATGGCGCTGGCTATGTCTCTGTGTTAATAAAAGGCAGGAAATTAAACATGGCTTCACAGAGGATTCACAGTGAATATGGGTGATGTTTGACCAGGGACAGTGGATCAAACGATGTGATATTTGAATGGCCTTCACCAAATATGGACTTTCTGACTAAACAACCATCACCTTTGTCCCTCTATTAAATACCAGTTCAGACAAGTATTCTTCCCCTGCTGCTGGACAATTACAGCACTGTCAGAGAATATCCTGAGGATTTCCTGTGAACTTATCATGGGGTTTTAGCAGTTTGTCATTCAGTAAATATACACTCTTTGAGCTGTGTTAAATAAAAATACTTTCACTAGAGCTGGGTCTAGTAAAAGTACACACATTATTTTGGTCATTTAATAACACACAAAATAACCCATTTTATCCCAGGTTTCTTAGTCCTCTTCTTCCTGATACAACTGTAACATCACTAATCACTATACAAATAGCAAAGAGTTTAACATAATTATCATGTTTCAGTTGCTGTGCTGATGTGATGGACTCCATTCTAATACTGCTGGACTTTGCTTTTGTGATTAAAACCTGCACTATAAAACATGTCAAGTCTGAGCTCACACTCACTTGATAGTCTGTAGGAAGCGTACTCTGTCATTGATCTCGTCAGGGATTTTGCTGAGGATGTGTTTCAGGGCTCTGGCCTTCTCATTTAGATCCAGGAACTCCTGCTCCTGTCGGTGTATCATGAAATCTGCAGGAAAAGATTTCTTGGGTTTCTTCGTTTTTTTTTTTTTACAGTGTTCTATCAGTCAGGGTAACAGGCAGACACACAAACATGGTGACTAAGTCAAGGGGACAATGAAAACATGATGTCATTTACATGTGAGCAGGAGATTGGACAGATGGAAAAAGGCACCCCTTTTTTTTTGATCTCTAAAAAACACAATTGGCGCTAATAACACTGCTACTGATTGGAATTCATACAACTCATGCTAATGTAATTTGATGTGTGAGCTAATTTAACACCGTGACACAGTTTAACCAGGGCTCTCGGGTTGGACAATTTTTAATGGCTAAAAATACAAGCCTTACAATCTATTTATCATTTCTCAATTTTGTACCATCACCCCCACCATCATCATCATCATCATCATCACCAGTGGATTACTATGTCTCTGCTTGTTTTCACAGTTATTTACACAGCACAACACAGCAACAGAAAAGACAAAAAACCTGTCTCTCTGAATGTTAAGGAAGGAAACCAGTGAAAGTGCAAGAGGGAAAAAAAAGAGAATGAGAAAGAAAGAATAAGATGGCCAGTGCAAGACAGTGGGGGCCGGTGCATGATGAGCTAAACAGACCAAAGATTACACCATGTTGAACCATGTTAGAATCTGTGTCCTTATGTTGATTTCTTAGTAAGTTTTGTCAGACGTTAGTCAAAACAACAAAAATCACACTTTTTTAATATTCTACTCACCTTCCACGTCATCTGCCGCCATGCGCAGTAGCGACTCGGTGAAGTTAATTTGCACATTCTTTTTCTCCAAGATCTTCATTATGATGTCCTGAGTTAAACCAGGGTTCTCTCGCTCCGCCTGCCACCAGAGGGAAACAGAGGAGAGAATCAGACGCAGCTCAGCACACAAAAGACAAGGCCCTGGGGCTACACAGTCAGATGTTTACTGAATGTCAAAAATCTTCTGCAGGCAGCTCAGGTTCTCTTAAATAATTAATACCAAATTACACAGTGGCCAGGAAGCAGCGCAGGGCAAAGGGAGGAACAAGTCAGTGAATTAAAGGAATAAAAGAACCACAAACACCACCTACAACAGCAGTAAGGGGAACACAGTTCTGCTCTGGTTCATTAATATTTTATCGATGAACTAAATGAACTGCAACACCCATCAGCTGCAAGAAAGAGGGAACGTACGACACCACTGTTTACCATAACGGTGCAATCACTGTGAAAAAGGTGTCAGGAGTTTATTTGATGCTACAGTTCACTGAGGGCTAATAAGGTCATTTATTTCAGGGTCTGTAAGGTTAGTAAACTAAACTCTGTTAAACTAACATCATCTGCTGTACACAATGAAATGAGGAGGCAATATATACAAATGAGGAGGCAATATATACATATATATATATATATATACATATATATACACATATGTTTTTGTTTTTTTGGTGGCCTTATGGAGACATGTGAGACTCTAGAAGTTATGGAAATAAGGGACTGCAGCTGCAGCCCATCAGTCTCTTACAGGTGTGGCTGTCAAAAATTATTTAATAAGTAAAAACAATAGGGATTCGCTCTATATCCAGAGCTACCTCTGGAGCTCCCTCTGTTGGAAGCAGACTAGTGAGCTAGTCCCCCCCATCCCCCCACCCCCAGGCCTTTATCTTGCAGAACCAAATGTTTTGCATGTTAAACAGTCATTTTCTTTCACTACATTTTAACTGCTGATAATTCAACTGTTGACGAATGGCAGAGCTTGTGCTATACTGCAATATTATATTACTCCTTTGCATATATTTCTTAGGGCTTTACTATATTATTGCATAATTTCATATGGTTACTCTTGAGGTAGTAGTGTACATTTGCATTTCACTTTTTATTTTATTGTGTATATAATGTATCTATAATTTTAATTACTATTATTATTGCTGCTAATTATGATTGTTATCTGATTTTGCTCCATTGCACATATTTGTAAATGTTGGTTCCATCTTTCAACTGTAAATTCCAGTACTTCTTTTACATATACTGTATTCTTAATGCATTCAATTTCTTTAACCCAATTTTTGCACAGTTGCTGGTGTAAATGTACAGCACCTTGTGACAAATAAAAGTCTTAAATTCTGAATCGTCTCTTGTTTGATATGGCTGCCACAGCAGTCTACGCCAGATGACATGTCATTTTTATTGGCCTCAAACAATATGAGAAATATTTATTGTGATTGTCTGTGTTTGTCATTGTTAGCTTTCTGTGACCGTGCAATGATGAAATGAAGATGAAACCAAAATATTTCTTTATATACTGAGGTATATCGGGTCACGGCAATAGTCCTACCTTTATGAAAGCTGCTCTGAGCGTCTGAGCTGCTGACAGGTTGATCCTCTCCAGCTGGTGAAAAGGGGAAATAAAAACAAACAAGTCACAAATTGATAAAACATTTGGGTTTAAAAAGTAGCACAATTTTTCAGACTTGTCCCTTTATTAGTGCTTACCACAGCTGAAGTCCACACACTGATTTGTTTGTTGTACATCAGATTCCTTTTCTAACGAAACACAATCTAACGAAACACAATCTATGTCTACTTAATAACATATAACATATAACTAATAACATTTTTTTAAAAATCATTTAGTCTTAAATTAAAAATAAAAGACATTTTTGCTGTTGTATTTTCTATTTTTACCATTTCTGGTCCTACTTTAAGTTGGATCTTTGTTCATAAAAAATATGACTGGTTTACAACAACATTTGTTTAACTGTTGGCTATTTTCAGTATTTTTAGATACTGGGCTAACATTAAGTTATGTTTGGATAAAACATTGAAAAATTGCAGGTACTTTAGCTATAAATCAAATCTACTCAAGGGCACATTTCAGCATTTTTTGTGACTAAATTTTAGCTACATTTTGGCTATTTAGATCCATACTTTTGTCCTATATTTTAAGCTAACTTTACAAAATTATTGTTATGATTTTTACAATACTTAATCTGAGGCTAGTTTTACTATTTTTGTCACACTGTTACCTTCAGTTACTTTGTGACCCTGTGTATGCAACCAAGACTTTTAAAATAAAAACATGCATATTGTGTGTACAAGTGGAAACAAAGAAGGAAATATTCACTTCCTGAAAAGCAAAACATTGATGCTGCCAATAAAGCCTTGATCATTAGAATTTGGAGGCCAAACTATTTTTTCCCATTGAGAAAATTCCCATATCTGCCCCTGGTGGTGATGAGTAATATATTTTACCTCATTAAAAACTGGGTACATCACAGCGTACAGCGTCATAGATACCATGGAGTTTGTCTCCGCTTCATTCTTCATCTCCTCCATTGTCATCCTCCAGGGAGGAGCAGCTCTGGGTGAAACTGTAAGGAGGAAACTGCAGCTCACATACACTCACACATACACTCCCCCACTCACACTCACACACACTCCAAAACCCACACAATCTCCAGAGTGACGACAGCCTAGGGAGGGAGAGAGAGGTAGAGGACAATTGTTATTTTTATTTCACTGCAGACTGACACAGAGCATGTTAACAAGACTGTGCATGTCCCACTCAGGGAAACGTTGCCATTTGTGGCAGGTGGACATGCTCTATGATCCAGGCAAATTTGTCACTTTTGCCTCTATAATGAATGTCTCTAGGTTTGCATTAGTTTAGGCTAGCTGCATATTATCCCACCAGTGCAGCACAGAATATTTGATTAATTAGAGTCAGATAGAACAGTTTACAACAACATTAGCCAGTAAGACACAACGCTTGGTTGGTTATCTGTCTTACCAGCAGGATGCAGTGACGTACCAGTTTATTACTCTCTGGGGAGGGGAGCGGCAGAGTTATACATTATCTGGATGGTGACGGTGAAGCCAATGGGCGCTAAGAGCATTTTTAGGTAAAACTAGAGAATGCATTTAGGGACATAAAACTCAAATTCTTTTTTAATACATTATTAATACACTTAAAATTATGATTCCCTAAAGCTTGTTTTGAAAAACACATCCAATGTTTTGGCAACGTATGACATTATACTTCAACTTTGACAATATTTGAAAGCTATAGGGACATATGGAGTCGGTTGGGTGTATTTCTACAAAGTTATATGGAAAATGGAAAGTGAACTACTTGTCACTACTTGTACACAGCACACCGCCGCACACAACCAAATGTGACCTCTGCTTTTAACCCATCAGGGTTAAAAATATCAGTTAGCAGCTTGGGGCAGTGGTGGTTTAGGGGTTAAGGAAGTGGACTTGGGTCCAAAAGGTTGCAGGTTTGAATCCACCAGCTGCCAAATTACCACTGAGGTGTTCTGAGCATGGCACTGTCCCCACACACTGTCCACACACAGCAGAAGCTGCCCACTGTTCACTTTGGTGATGGGTTAAATGCAGTCAAATTTCATTGTGTGCCATGCTCAGAGCACCTCAGTGGTAACTTGAGTGCTGGTGGACTCAAACCTGAAGACCGGAACCAAGACCACTTCCTTAACCACTAAGCCACCACTTCCCTTTAAAAGTTCTGTTGCAGCATTCTTTAAAACATTTGAAAAGTTCGGTTTATTTTTTTACTTTTTCTTAAACTTCAATTATAATCTTCAATAATAATCAAATAAAAAAAGCTTTTTTGTATTCTTTTTAATCCATTGTTTATCTGTGTATTTTTTTCTTTTATATATGCTTTTATAACAGTACTTTGTCATTTAAATACGTTTACTTCATGAGTAATTCTTCTTTGTGACACACTGACTTTTTACTAGATAATTAAAATGTACCAGCAGTAGATAATATGGTCTGAAACAAATCACATTGGCATAGGTAATGTTTCCATCAACAACATGAAGTATTTGCAAAGAACAATGCATTCATTTACATGAATTTATTGATTGAATTTGACAGATTTTATATCATGAGTGACAGTACGTGTGACATCACAGTTAAGAAACACAGCTCGATTATTACCTGTCCGAACATTTTTAATTTATTGTCTATAAAGTGTACGTTCCTTATGCAAAAAAACCAAAACAAAACAAAAAAAAACGTTGTGAAATATACAGCAACAATACAGATTATGAGTCACTGTTTCAAAACGCGATGCTAAACTGGTAGGCTAGTTTAGGCAGCTAGTCGGCTAACTGGGAGAAGTTACCGAGAAGCTGAATAAATTACACTGGACCATTTTAGTGTGGATTTAAAAACAATTCACATTTGGTATCCACTACTTGTACAACATTTTAGATGTTAAATTTACAAACTAAGATGAACAACGAGAGGTTCAGAATTGAGGCCTGTTGTCGAGGAAACCTATATTAACCAAGTGCTAGCACTGAACAGCGTAGCTTACGTGCTAGCTTCAGTACAGAGGTACATTTTTGTATTAGCTTAATGAGGAAGAGCGAGTCAGTAGAGACTTTTACGCTGGATGTGTGTTTAGAAGGTTGCGTGACAAGTGTGTATTCGTGTCTACCTTGATTCTGACTCCTTAAACGGGTTGCTTACGCCGTCGACTGCCTTTCAGCTGCTATGTTTTCTTTACAACTTAAGGCGGAAGTTTTTTAGGACTGCCTTCAGTGACATCTTCCGGACCGTTGCTACGTAAACTGACGCCGACCACTAATAGTGCGGGGACATGGAGCGTCACTGACGTCGAAGACAATACGTAAAAAATAAAAAAATAAATAAAGAATTGTATTGTTATTTTTTCTCGGTTACATTTTTTCTTCTCATATCGTGTTCTTGCATTTTTCATGTGTATCAGTTTAATCAATACTTTGTGTGGCCGCCCTTTTACAGTTTTCCTTGCTCCAAACCAAGCGTTAAGGTAACACTGTTGCCACATTCCTATCTCACATTGTCATTCTCTTTGTCCACATTTCAACATTCTGATCTTATCTCCTTTTTATTTCGCACATACAGTATATTCACGTGTCCATCTAATCTTTCTTTCAGAATCAAACCTGTGAACAGTAAAACATGTATAAAGGACTTATCTGACATAGCTCTGTAAGGCATTTGAATAACAACATTTTCTTTGTTCTCCCAGTTGTTGCCAGTAAATGGAAGTTTAAATACACCACTGAGCTACATGACTCAAGCTATGCACTGTATTTGTCTCTGTCACCGAGGTCCCAGTCTGGGTTCTTAATTCAAAGAGGAGGCTTACAGGGGCTCACAGACCCATCGTTGTAATCAACGATGGGTCTCACAAAGTAATGTTGAGTAACCTAAACTTCCTCAGGGATTGGTTGCACTGATTACGCACACAAACTTTACATTGAATTTTATTATTAAAACTTTTTGCTTGGAATCGTTTATCTCTTTATATACATACTTTACTAAATCTATTGTTCATCATTGTGGCCTCCACAATGTTTGAAACCAAAAATGTTTTTAAAAAATGATTGTGTAATCCTATTTCTATTTCATTACATAAAAGTCTAAGATTTATATTTTATATTATATATGTAGCTTAGTGGCGCTTTGGCCCAGAGGCAATGTCTCTGTCATTGGTGTGGAACCCCAGGGTTCACCTCCTGGGCAAGTTCAAGTCCCGGTTAGGGCGGTTGGTACCTTCCAGTGGACTCACCACCCGCAGGAAGCTTTGGTACGGTGCAATGTGATTTGGGTGGAGACTGCTGCCCCCGTGACCCGGTAACGGATAAGCGGATGAAAATGGATGGATGGATATGTAGCTTAAAGCTTTTAAAAACAATCCCCAATTAAAGTCTTTGTTTATGTCTGCTGCAAATTGTGCTTTTTTCTGGGTGCACAGTCTTCTTATCTATAAATTGCAATCTGTGCATCTTGAGAGTTTTCTACTTATTGTAAAGGAATGTAAAGGCCATCATGATGAACTTCAGTCTAGCTGTCTGGTTAGTGTCTTATGATGGCCGTTGGCTTAGAGATGTCCAGGCTCCAGGTGGATAAGGCCCTCAAGATCAGGTTTCACCTCAGACCCTTGAACAGGAATCCAGGTCAGAGCAGGGTGTGGATATGTTGACAAAAATGTTCAAGATTTAGTCGACCACAAGTGTTGTCCAGAAGAAAACTTCAACAAAGAAATGACTTCAATGTTTATGCCTGTACATGTTGAAGTTTTACTACTTTCATGTGTAGTTTAAATGTAATGTCCCATTGATGTGTCAAACAAACATGAAAACAGGAAAATTTGGTGTAGGTATTACACATTGTTGGTAGTTATAATTCAGTGGCTACAGGTACAATGATTTGAGCCTAAATTGTTCTAAGTAATGCAAATCACAGCTTAATTTGAAGATATTCACACAATCTCTGAGTAAATCTCAATCTGAACTCTCCGGTATTTGAGTGACCTATGGCATCTTCAATGGCTCTGGGACATTTGCCCTGAATGCTCCCTCATTTTGTATTCTTAAAATCCGGAGTTTTCCTTTTTCCGGTTTGGTATGTGAAGGTACCGCAGACTGTATATATCCTATAGACATGATCTCAGGGCGGGACACACGCCTGTAGAGAATGAACGTTGATATTTGTCCTTTAATGTTTGCTCATTTAAAGCTTCTATGCGATGCTGCTCCCATGGCTGTGTTATGTAACAGGGATGTCATGTGTGATTGGCTGTCGTGGCTGATGATGTCATCAGCATATGGACTGTAGCGAGGTGCGTAGCCGGAAATACCATTGAAACGTATGCGACTGCCGGCTTTTATACGAGGTAAAGAGGACTTCAAAATTCTGTCACACTACACGGAGTTGTTACAGCGCAACTTCGGAACCGCATTCCTCCAAGACTGTTAAGCTTTTAAAGGTAAAAAGGGGTCATTTCCTTAAGAACAGTATCGCGAGTAATTCATTCTTTTACTAAATGGTTTTGGGCGAAAGTTATTTTTAATGTCGGCAGCAGTGCGACATTTCCCATCACTTTTGTATTAAGATTACGATTTTGTATTCAGTCGGTCCGTCTTATGCCGATTAGTTTCTTGTCATTACACTGTAATCACGAGGATATGAATGGAGGGTGTGTTGGGGGAAAAAAAATTCCCACAATGCAGTTCACCATGAGGTGGTTAAAAATAATGAATTTTGTGTATCTTCTGTTTGTTCGTAGACCTTTTAGCCATGTCTGTGAAAATCCACGTCAACAGCCCGAATGTGAGGTACACAGAGACCCACATAGTGGCCCAGTATTCCTACCAGACCGCATCAGTGATGAAAGAAGGGAACAAAGTAACAGTAAGTGCCTTACCCGCTATACTAACTATGAATGTTCTGATGTTCTAGTGACAGTTCTGCACGTATACTGTAGTAGTGAGTAGTAGTAAGATGCAACTACCATGTACCTGCTGCATGTATTATTGCAATAATATTGCTGCAATATTCAATGAAGCAATGACGGAGTACTAGGTAACAACGGATTTCAATCATTTGGTACAATATTACGCGATAACTTGTAACTATGCCAGTAAGAATGCATTGACATTAAATGTGTATTTATGTGGTAATGTGGCCATTACAATGTGTAACATGTTATAATTACATCTTAGTGTGCATCAATGTAGCAATCATTAAGAGCATTCATGAATGTAGTAACAACACCTGAAGCAATCATTCACAATGGACTATTGTGTATTTATGTAATAGTAAAAAAAAACATGTTTAAATAAGGAACACGGAATAATGACCAATGACTTCTCAATCTTGGGTATGTTGCCAATTAATGTGTAATTAATAAAATATTAAAGTACCCTCTGAGAATGTGTAATAATAACAAAACTGACTCGGACACAGGTGACGCCACGCTCAACTAATATGACATTTCGTACTGAGAGGCATGTACCGCGGTTGGGCGTGATGCTAGTTGGCTGGGGGGGCAACAATGGGACCACAGTCACAGCTGCAGTTCTGGCCAACAAGCTGGGTCTCACCTGGATGACTAAGACTGGACTGAAGGTGAGTGGAATGATGACACCATGTCGTTCTAATACTATGCACGTGAATATGATCGTTACCATGTTGATTTTTATTGGATACAAAGGCACAAACTATAATGTCAAATACAACAGAACCAAGACAGTGAGTGAGTGGTGGTGTGGTGTGTTAGCCTTTTTTGAAAATTTCCAGTAGTGCATCATTTGTGCTCACAGAGCTTGTGAAAGCCTAGTTTGTGAATTCACAGAATTGTATAACTACTTTTTGCACAGAGCCATTTAGGTTAGTAGTCAAGTTTAAAAAGATATTAGCCTAGATAAACTCTCTTTATCTTACATTTCTGGTTTCAAATCAAATTTAAATTACAATTTAAATAGTAAAACTCATCTTCATAATCAGTCTTAACCGTGGTGTGAAAATAGGATTCTTACATGGAGCAGTGAATGGAGAAAAGTCTTGTTCTGTTGTATAAAACATCCTCCTGAATTCTGCACAACTGCTGCTGGGCTGGAACACAGTCATTAAAAGCTGATTATAGCGACATGTTCAGGGAAGTGTTAAGAGATTAACAGACTCCAGTCTGGAGGACTTCCCTTTATATGGACATGCATTGTTGCATTTATGACCTGGTTTTTGTCATTTTCATTTCCATCAATTTTTATGTGGTCCATGACTTTCCCATTTGTTCGAAACCTTGAAACTCTTTTCTCCTTGAAAGGACTAAATTCACACCGTGTACGTCTTTTCTTTTCTCTCTTTTCCTCATTCCTCAGAAAGCAAATTACTTCGGCTCCCTCCTGCAATCCTCCACTGTTTGTCTGGGAACAGGACTGGAGGGCGAGGTCAACGTGCCATTCCGTGACCTCCTGCCCATGGTGCACCCTAATGATATTGTCTTTGACGGTACAGAAGCTCAACCTTTAACCTCTGAGAGAGGCTGTGTTTGTGTGTAAACAACCAGATAAACACAGTCAGTTACCATTAGCAACACATTTTCTTCTCCAAACACCTTAAAGGTCACCACAGCAGGAAAATATCAAATCTAGCAAAAAACATTTTTAGTGCTAGAATAATATAAAATATATAGTTATCCCAGATGATAATTAAAAATAAGTTAAGCAATTGCTATGTTTTATAAAGGAACATCTGACAATAGGAACTGGAACGATAGATAGATAGATAAATGTCGTCATAATGTTGCCATAATGACTTTAGGTTATCTCTAACATGGCAAAACATTTCATAAATATAATGAAAACAGTTTAAATTACACAAGGAATAACATCAAGTCAGCTAAATATTGGGGGGAAGGCCTCAGCTATTTAAAAATCTAAAAAGGTTGGCTATCAAAAGCAGAATTTACTGCATTATTTCAAAGCTTCATTATACACTAATTACAAAGCAGATGCCAAAATATATCCAGTCAGATAGCCAAACAAAGATAAAACTTGCAACAAGGTAACCAAAGGTCAGCCTTTAAAGTGATTAACATTAGTCGATAATTCAAGACAGGAAACCTTACGTCAGGCGTCACCGACTGTATTTATCGAAGGACCCGAATTCCTCTGGACAGACACATTTTTGTCCAAGGAAAGTGTGTGTCAACATTATTATTTGATGTTTATTGTGGAATCCAGCCTCAGGCCGGATTGGACAGTTAGAGAGGCTGTATTTGGCCCGAGGGCCACCAGTTGGTGATCGCTGCTCAATGCCTTTTCTAAGATAACTAAAGTTAGATATAAATGATAAAATGCTTAAAAGAAGACAAAAATATCTTTAATACATTTTGTTGGACAAAAAGCAAAACAAAAAGGCCAGTAAATATTATAAAATTATAAAAATATAAATATGTTTACTTTGGGAAATTATATTTTTAACTTAAACATTGTTTTTTTTAATAGGCTGGGACATTTCTTCACTGGATCTGGCCGATGCCATGGAACGAGCTCAGGTGCTGGACTGGTCACTGCAGGAGCAGATTCGTCCACACATGAGCAGCATGAAGCCCAGGCCTTCTATTTATATCCCAGACTTTATTGCAGCGAACCAAGAGAGCAGAGCTGACAATGTCCTCAGTGGGACACTGGCAGAGCAGGTAATAATGGTTTAACCCATCAACAGCCAGCATTTCCCCTTGTCAAAGCAGCAAAGGCTGTACATTAGCGACAGCAATGATGATTAGCTTGGCGCTAAATGGTATCATTAAAAATCTCAGTAAAGTGAGTGAACATGTACATGGCCCCAGAGCCAAGGGAGTGACTGGCCTTAATGATATGCAGCCAACCACCACTAACACAGTCATAACATCTGTTATGTGAAGGATCATGTTTTCGCATCTCTGTTCTCCTATGTGTGATGTCGTAAAAGCATTAATTGCACACGAAGTCTAAATGATCTGGATAAATGATCTTTCAGATGGAGCAGATCCGAGCGGATATAAGAGAATTCAGTCAGTCCAGCGGCGTCGACAAAGTCATTGTTCTGTGGACGGCAAACACTGAGCGTTTCTGTGACATCGTACCAGGGGTGAATGACACCGCCAATAACCTGTTGGCTGCAATTCAGGTGAGAGCTCTGAGGAGTGCATTGCATTTGTATATATCGTATAGAAGGATCAGTTGGCTCCCAGCTGTTTCCACTTTGGAAAACTTACAATGTCAAAAATATGAAGGAATAAATCAACTTTGGCTGATTATACAGTAGAGACCACACTGTGGTAGATGTTGGCAGGGCTTTGCCTGGGGACATCAGGGGATTAGGTTGATTGGACACTCTAAATTGACTTACCCTCCTCCTCCCACCCCCGACCCTGCAAAGGACTAAGCGTTCAAGTACGGTTAGATGAATACAATAGATGGTTTCAGTATTAAAGGCTCAAACTGTCATTGAAATGTCTTGGTGGTTCGCAGTCAGGATTCATCTGTCAGTCAAATCCATAATCCTCCATCTCATTTTGTGAACACAGAGAAGAAAATCTTCTCACAGAAAAGTGAGAAGATTACAAGATTAGCCCTTAAAAATGTCAAACTTTACTTTAAAGGAAATGCCAAATGTATCCCAAAATGGAGGATTTCAATTGGGGTCTAATACATGATGACCTTTCATTAGTTAATACCTTTGTTCTGTCTCTTCTCTGTGTACATCAGGCCGGTACCGAGGAGATTTCTCCTTCAACTGTTTTTGCAGTGGCCAGCATTCTGGAGGGCTGCGCCTACATCAACGGCTCCCCACAGAACACCTTCGTTCCAGGTGCCATTGAACTGGCCGTGCAGAAAGGTGTCTTCATCGGGGGCGACGACTTTAAATCCGGTCAGACTAAGATCAAGTCGGTGCTCGTGGACTTTCTGGTCAGCGCAGGGATAAAGGTGAGGATTTTGTGAATGTGAATCAGTGTTGAGCAGTGATCACCAGTAGTACAAACAACGATTTACCCACCAGCTACAATAATGACTATAAAAGGACATGTAACAGGACCTCCCGTGTGTAAGGCAGATGTGTCAGCAGGCCTAATAACTACTACACTCTGGAACCATTATAGCCTAAATTCAGCCTGTGTTTTTTAGGCTATTTTGTACATGAATAGCTTTTCCAGATTTCATTTTATTTTAATTAGACTTAGACTTGGACTTTCTTCATTATCATTGCACAGAAACACAAAAGACGGTGAGTCTAGCAACGAAATGTCATTGCTTGGCAACCATAGTACTCACTACACAACTTGTAGGCCATGAGTAACTAATTCAAGGTATGGCCGTATATATATGTATATATATATGGGTGGTTATTTGGCATTCAACAGTCCCACGTTGACTCATTTCTATGTTTGTCTGCCTCTTGACAGCCAACCTCCATCGTCAGCTACAACCACCTAGGCAACAATGACGGTAAGAACCTGTCCGCACCACAGCAGTTCCGCTCTAAAGAAATCTCCAAGAGCAACGTGGTGGACGACGTGGTCCAGTCCAACGGCATCCTATACCAGCCTGGAGAGAAACCAGACCATTGTGTGAGTGATTTCTACAGTGACAACAAATAAATACAGATGATTCCAAATGGTACAAACAACCAACACACTTTGTTGTTTTAGGTGGTGATTAAGTACGTCCCATATGTGGGAGACAGCAAACGGGCCATGGATGAGTACATCTCTGAAATAATGATGGGCGGAACTAATACTATCGCTCTGCACAACACTTGTGAGGTCAGTGGTCACTAGAATGTGAATTACATTGACATGCAAACCCCTAATAGTTCTTAATACAACATTAGGAGTCGCTCTTTTTTATCTGGCTACAGTTAGGATGAGGAAGAGGAGGAGGAGGAGGAGGACAAGGCTCAGGAGACACAGCTTAGAGTTAATCCTACTTTGCGAGTATTAGAGCTAATTTAGACCCAGTGATATTTAGGCCACTTAAATATTACAATTATGTGACATGTTTCAGGAGAAAACCTACTGAAATCTTCAGCTTTATTTCTGTGGCTTCACATCTATTCCCTTTCATCATACTCATTGTGTATTGATGAATTTGGTCTTAAAACAAACAATGTTTTTATCTCAGATTCTTTAACCAACTACTTGCAGCGTGTCACATCCATTTTTAAACATTTTAGTATTTGATTTTAGTTTTTGTTTACTAATTTGGTATAATTAGAATGTGTGCAGTGGAAGTGACTGATGGGTTCCGGGCAGTGGCAGGAGGGCTACTCCTGCTCTGAGCCTTTAGTTGTTTGCATAGGTGATGTACAGGTCGAGCAGAGGTCTTGAGTGGAACACATTGTTTGCACATGACATTGTAATCTGTATTTTTTGTTTTTTACAACAGGACTCTCTTTTAGCCAGCCCAATCATTCTGGACCTGGTGATCCTCACAGAGCTGTGTCAGCGTATCATGATCCGGCCTCAGGGGGAGGAGGACTTCCAGTCTTTCCACAGTGTTTTGGCCCTGCTCTCCTTCCTCTGCAAGGCACCACTCGTTCCTCCAGGCACCCCGGTGGTCAACGCCTTCTTTCGACAAAGAGCCAGCATAGAAAACATCATGAGGTGTGAAGCTCTTTCACTCAGATACTGGTTTTTAGCTTCTTCCTGAAACATTTTTATTCCAAACGATAAGTCGCCTTCACTCTGATTTTATCTGACCATCAAAGAATAGTGAAAATATATATGAGTGACCTTGAGCTTTTTGACATTTTCTGTCTTTTTTTCTACTGCCTACTCCTTTCATGCAGCCTGCTTTTGAGTCTGTGTGTGCTACCATTGTCTTGCTCAGCCTTACATTACACTGTGTTCCTCTTCCTTTTCTTTAGAGCTTGCATTGGCCTTCCACCTCAGAACCACATGCTCCTGGAGCACAAGCTGCAGAGAGACTTTCTGCCTCCTCACACGCCCTACATCAACGGGGAAGTGGCTGCTACAAAAAAAGTTGTCCTCACCAACGGAGACCATAACAAACCTCTAAAAAAAGGCTTTTACGCACATGATGATAACGCTGTGAGGGCAGTATAGCAGGTTTTATGAATTGCTGCATTGAATAGAGTTACTACGACCCATAAGTTATTAACACCTCTGCTTGGCATTTATAGAAGAAAAAATTGAACCTCATTAGCATTTTGTGAATTATGTCCTGCTAAAGATAGATGGAAAGCAGCATCATGGCAACAATATAAGGCACAAATAGATGGTCACCTGGGTTTTAAAGATAAATAAGAGGTATCTTCTTTTTTTACATATGTTACTGACTGTTTGTATTTTATTCATGTGTTCTTCCTAAGCAACAGTCCACTTTAATCCCGTTAGGTGTCATATTTATATTGTTTTGTTTTGTGCTATACATGCAGTGCATGTGTTTGTAGGCCAGATATTAAGATTAAAAAAATGTATGAATATTGATATTAAAGGTGTTGTCATTCATTAATTGTTCTGTTTTTTCTCCTTCATTTTAATGATGAATGACTTAGCCCTTAAAATAATTAAAGAGATTATTAAAATGAATGGTACACACTTTTAAAATGAAAAAAGATCAATGAAAAGTTATTTTACCACATTAACTAAATATGTATAAAAATATACAAATGTAAAAAGAGGAACTAGTTTCACAACTTCATACTTCACCTACTGTATATAGGTGTCAGTTAGCTTATATATATATACATATACGTGTATATATATACATATATATGTATATAGTATATATACATAAATATATATATAAAGCATGAGAGAAAAGGTCAATAGTAATGTTATAAGTCCTTATCTTAAAATTAAAACATTATGACACATGTCTGTGATGAAAATTGAGTCGAGTGAGATTACAAAGATTATTACAATAAATGTAACATTTGGTGGAAGGGCAAAAACGATTCCACTTGTTTGGATCTAAATTATTTACATTACATATACTCTCTGTTCTCTTTATTCCCTTTTTTTTTTATTTACTGCCTTGGAAAGAGACATGCTATGCTATATCTCTCTTATAAGAGATTTAATTACTAGGAATAATATACGTGAAAACAAAGTCAAACATACTAAAAAAAATCTATGCTAAACTGTTATCTTCCGGTTTCCGGCCAGTTGACAAATCACTTCCGCTGCCGTTGCTGCGACACGGGACGTCAACATCAATGGCGGACAAAGAGAAACGCCGGTCAGCGGTGATTGCTCCCGGGGTAACCGAGGGCAGAGGCAGCAGGTCGGAGAGCGACAGGGAGTTTCTTTCGCAGGCGGGGGTGGGAGAGCTGATCCGCGGAGCCATCCTCAAGATGGTCGAGGCCAGATCGGACGACCCTATCGGCTTTTTGGCTGATCACTTCTGCAACCTGGCCTCCATGACGGACAGCGGCACCGTCGGATGCGGCAGTGATGCGGATCAGCTGAACAACGGCCCGCTGAGCGCAGGCGCCAGGGAGCAGCAGCATCTCAACCGGGCCCTGTGGCACCTGCGGCTGGCGCACCACTCCCAGAGGTTAGAGCATTTCTCAGTGGTGATGGTGCCCGGGGGCCCTTGGTGGCCCCCCATGGTGGCCGCGGGGTTTTAAATTAAACTGTTCTTTTTGAATCAGTTACACCTGCAATAATAATGAAATGGGTGCACTGACGATGGTGTTATTGTATAGATAATAATTAGTCCCAGAACTGATTATTATCCGTATCAAACAAGTAGCTCATTGTATTACCAAGTACCCTTGAAGTAGCTCTCAGTTTCAAAAAGGTTGGTGACCCCTGCTGTAGAGACTATAGAACACTTTGTCAGTGACTGGACACTTTTTATTGTAAGTCATTGACATGTCATGTTTGCTGTTTATTAAAATACATTAAATAAAATCTTTTTAGGAATGTTGGGGATAGTTTGATATATTCAGTTCTTTTGTGTTAGCTATCTCCCCTGGCTAACTTTTATCTAACATTAGCCAAAACAGTTAACTTTCATCATCAACTTATGACTTAAATACAGTACACTTCTACCATCTATCTTTGGACAGAAAACCCAGTCTCTGTGACAGCCTATGTCATTGCCATGTAGCATTTTGTACTGGATGCTAATTTGCCTGTTTTTCACAGATCAGCCTACAGCAACAACGTTCGTGTGGCATACGACCTCCTCAACCTCTCTGAGCCCTGCAAACATCAAGGTCTATCTCCCGAGGCACCGAACAGCTCCAACACTGAGAGTCCAACGGAAGGAGATGGAGAAGGAGCTGAAGGAGGAGGCGTGAGAGGCAGCCTCTACACACAAACTCTGCAGTGCCTATGCAGTGAGGGCGGAGTCCCCGCCTCCACCTCTGCTCCTCTCCTCCGACGGCTTCACTGCCATGACCACGAGGCCGTCCCTTACGACGTCTTCCGTCACAGCGTGCTCACGTGTGCCGTTTTCTCAGACTACATCCGGCAAGCTCAGCGGCTTTATGCCGGGGTGTGCTGCCCAGATGAGGGCCCTGCCTCGCGGGCACTGTGCCTGGCGGTGCTTGGGACTCTAAAAGAAGCACTGGAGACTTCCCAAGGCTGTGATTCAAACTGTTGCGATAACGCTAATGCTAAAGCCAATCCCTGCTTAGAGGCAAATGTGAAAGCTATATGCTACTTGAAGGCCAGTGCCAAAATCTCTCCTCACAAGTTATCACAGGCCATGTCTAGAGCACAGACACAGGGTCCTGGAGGAAACATGGACGCTAAAGAGTTTGAGAATGCAGCAGCCGACCTGTTTATCACCCGAGTTAAAGTTGTGTCTTAGGTGTCATTTCTAGTTTCTTCTAATTTATAAATGTACACCGTTCTACAGTATGTCATAGAACAAACAGTAACCTTCTTAAAGACTGATATTACCTCATCTCATCACTTATACTAACACTAATAATTCCACTGGTCGCTAGGCAACACTCGTATCAAGGTACTGAGCATTATCTGTTTCAAAATGTGTTGCCCTCAGTCTTCCAGGACTTCCAGTTATAAGACATATCTTATAGTTTAATTAGTATATATATATATAAATATATATTTTAAAGGAGCTGGATTTCTATCTTTAAACAAAGTTATAAAACAGGTTGTGACCTAGTGAGAAAGACATGTTTCAGAATTCTTTGATGGAAACACACCAAATGCTAATGTGCTCTGATTAGAATAGAGGAAAAGCTTACTTGTCCTGATAGGATTTTCTCTTCCCAATTTGTCTTAAAACGTTTAAAATTAGCATGTCCTTGAATTGTCATTCATGTTTATAATGAAATGCTCATCTATGTCTGTCTGCTGTAATAGGATACTACTGTAATAAATTATTGTCAATTTGCTCACCATTTCCATGTTTCAATTGTGTCTAAAAAGCTGTCACTTTACATCTAATTTTAAAATATTCATACTTTAAAGGCGGATTCACTAACATCACTAAACATTTAGTTGAAGACATTCCACCTCTCATCTATGCGAGGTATCTATGAGGCTTATTCAGTTCATTACAAAACTGAAGATTGAATTTTGTTTGGAAACTGTACAAATACCCTAAAAGACAAAATGTCAGTCAAAAGTCAAAGTTAGCTTCACGGTGCTATAAAATTTAAAATACACAGTCTTTCGTCATATCTTAGCCACATCAACAAATGTTAGTTTTGCAAAGAAAAATCCGCTAGGTGGCAGCACAGGAAGTGTCAGAGACACAGACCGGAAGTTATCTGACTACACAGCCTCACATCCTGCGTAAAAACATCAGTCGTTGAAAATAAACACCAACAATTAATTTATGTAATTATTACCTTAACGGTGGTTTGGAGCACGAAAATGGTAGAAGAGGAGGAACTTCGGTCTTTCACGTTCCTCATGACGTACCTGCTGCTGAAGCGCAGGAGAGACGTCAACAATGCAAATGTGCAGAGGCGCAACGAAATCCAGAGACGCATCAGGCACCGACAGTACTTTTTCCAGAGACAGCGGAGGACGCTTATGGTTAGTCCACTAACTCATGTCTCTGTTTTTTAGCTGCTTGTCCCCCATTGGGTATTTTGTCTATAATGTTAAAACTGTCTTTGTTATCCTAAAAATACATTAGAAGCAGACAAAATGTATGATGAATGTTAAGCATTTACTGCATTTAAGCGTTTATGTATGAAATTAATTTATAAATACTACTGTGGTCAAAGATCATATATATATATATATATTATATTTCAGGACTAACTCATGTGGATTTAGTGATTATGAAAGCTATGATAAATACACTGTATGTCCATTCTTTCCTCTTTTTTTTTGGTTAAGATGATGATAGCTGGAAGTATGCCTTCCAATATCCGCATGCGAACACGTCCCTGGGTAACCACTCCAAGAACAGATTGGTGGGAAAGGGTGGTTATGACAGAATTTCAGCCCTCTGATTGGCTGGATAAGTTCCGTATGAGCCAGGAAACTTTCTTCTATCTCTGTGAAAAGCTGAGGCCTCGCCTGGCTCGTCAGGACACCTGCTTTCGCCTGGCTTTGCCGGTGGAAAAACGCGTGGCAGTGGCTCTGTGGCGTCTGGCATCCAACATCGAGTACCGCACCATCAGTTCTCTGTTTGGTGTGGGGAAGTCAACTGTGTGTCGTTGTGTTAGGGACATGTGTCATGCCATCGTCGGGCTCCTCAGCTCAACCTACCTGCGTCCTCCCAGTGAACAGGACCTGGAGGACTCAGCTCTGCACTTCCTGTCACGTTATGGCTTTCCACACTGTGTTGCTGCCATATCAACACTCCACACTGCCATCATTTCTCCATCAAACAATGCATCGGACTATGCTAATTCTGCTGGTTGGCTTTCAGTGTTGTCTCAGGTAGTAAAGTCATGGCTTGACAATAATATTTTGCTATTCATCCTACATCACAGTTTTGATTCATGTTTTTTTTTCCTGCTCCTTCAGGTGGCTGTCAGTGGCCGAGGCCAGTTCTGGGATGTGTGTGCCAGTTTCCCAGGTGGGACAGACCCAGCTGATATTTTACAGAACTCATCCCTGTGGACTACAGCTGCAGAAGGTGGACTATCACCTGCATCTGTGCCCACCTTCATGGGAAGAAAACTCAGGTAAATCTGTACCAGCAGCAAACCTTGGCTAATATTAGCAAAATTTTAACTCCAACCCAGTTTGTGCTACTAACAGTCTATATCTTAGGACATAAAATGATCCCAGAAAGTCATAACTTTCAAACAACCATCTGTCTCTTCCAGTTATGTCCTGTTAGGTGAGGCCTGCTACCCGCTGCAAAATTGGCTGGTGAAGGCTTATCCTGAAGGAAAATGCATCAGAATGAGAGACGTTGGATTGTCGCAGTCACAGCAGCTCTTTAACCAGCGACTCAACGCAGCACTTCGAGTGCCTGTGGAGGCACTGCTGAGGCTGAGGGCCCGCTGGCAGTGCCTAAGCAAGAGGAATGACTGCGGACTAGATGTGGTGCCGACCATGGTCCTCGCTTGCTGCATTCTGCACAACATATGCGAGTCACACGGGGACACGTTTAAGGAGGAGTGGCAGGCAGATGTGGTTGAGGCAGAGAGCCCTCAGCCCAGCCACAGGCCGCTCCTCTCAACCAGTTTGGACCAAAGTCATGCTGAGGACGTGCGACGCCTCTTCTGTGAATATTTTCAGCTGCAAGAAAATTAAAAAGGACAGTAGGGATTAGTGATGTCAGTTAACCCCAGTAAAATCCAGACATATTTACCATAATTATTCAAATTTGCCTTTACACACCTTAGATAAGGGCTATTAACAATAAGGGATAATTGAAATCACCATTAGTGATTTCAACGCTGTCTATTGTTTCCATTATTGCAAAAAAGTTTTTATATTGTCTGTTTAAAGTGTTTTGACTTGATGTGTTTCACCCTCAATTCTTGTAGGTGTTAAACAACAATATACTGCTAAAAAATAATGCTAACAAAAATACAACACTACCCTTTGTAGCTGTATTTTAGATGTGGTCAAAATTGAGATACAGTATATAAATCTTGTATTCACACTTGATATATTGTGCGTCAAGTGTTTTTTTATTTATTTATTGACAGGCACTGTGTGCAATTGTATATTATGGCCACAGGGTGTCACTGGAATTACAGAACGTGGACATACTGTAGATGCCTTGAGATGGGATTGTCTATTCTGTTGCTGGAGTCGCTGCTTCTGCAGGCGTCTGACAGAGTGACAGGGAGCGCAGCTTGAAATGTCTTCTGTCTTGATGTTTTATACCAAGTTGAACAAAATATATTTAAAAACAAAAAGGATGAACATGTGAGTGAGTGCAAAGAAAACCCCTGACAGGGAGTGCCCCACTGTTTTTGATGTAACCTAATTAACGGGAAATATATATGCCTGGAAAAACCAAGGCTCGGGGCTATCCACAGCTTGTCTAATTTCACGGGGAATGTATTTTTAATATGTGACTCCATTAAACCTAATGATGTCAATACAATTTCAAATGTGTATATTTGATATTTTGACTATAAAACATTACATTTCGTCCATTGTAACTTTAGCTGCTCTGTTTTACTCCACATTTACGGTTCGATTTGTTTACATTTTTAGCAGAAAGAATAACATTCAAAGAATGCAATTATAAATCAAATACAGCTGAGTCTATTAAGCCTCTATAAAAAAATTAAATAAAGATATACTGTTAAATTGAACTAATACTGGTTGAATACCAACGGATGAGAAAAATGTCTGATATTCAAATTCGTCCGTTAAACGCTTACCACGTGCGCGCGCGTGCTCGTTCACACTGTTCCGAGCTCCTTCGTCCAGCTGCTGGCAATGAATCAGTGAATCCATCTCACCACACTGGCAGAAAAACGCAACCGGTGCGGGGGTTAGCGCGATTCGTTCGCTCTTCTCTCCGGTTGTCGCGATAACCGCAAGCAGCATCTGTAATTCTTTGCTTTAACAAAATGATTCATGATGTGATGGAGCGCTGCCCTATCGTCGCTAGCTAGAGGCGGAAAAATTCCTTCAACCACCACCGTTGCTGCTGCTTCAATCACTGCGGCTTCGCACGGAGGCGTAGAGTTATCGAACCGAGAGAACAGGCTAACCAGAAATCATTCGTTAGCCGCCTGAGCTAACGTCAGCTAATGTAGTTATTACTTATCGAGCGGACGCATCGCTGCGGCGTGGACAGTGATAATAAACCGTTAACACTGATGTTAGCTCATAGCCGGGAAACTTAGCATCACGGGCTTTTAAACGAACAAGCGTGGATGTCGCGACACTGCAGTTTTCAGCCTTTTTAGTGGATTGTGAGGGCACAGTTTTGAGCAGAGTTACAGGCAGGGAGGCTAGACGTGAACCACGGTGTGACAGCGCAGAGTTAATAATATAATCCAGCTGTTACTAAGTGGCTAATCTGCGTTAGCTGCAGTCTCTTTAAAGGGGGCATCTCCGTGAAGGCCACCACCGTCCTTTACCTCCTCGTCCCCCTTCCGCCCTATCTCCAGTGAATTCTTTGTCAACGTAAACCTGGAGAGAAGTCGCAGTTGTTTGCGACTTGACAGCGAGGCCCCCTTTTAGCTTTTTTAGTCCCCCCTCCCCCTCGCCGCCCCCGTCCATCCATCCGTCCCTGCACCGACAGACCGCCTCCTCCTCCTCGCCTGAGACAGAAGGCGAGGGCCGGGGATTCAGGAAAAGAGCTGAGCTGAGACCGTCGTGGGCAAGTGGTGGCTGGTCGGGTCCCGTCTTACACCGGGCTGCCAAAAAAAGCAGAGGGGATGACCCTGGAGTCCATGATGGCTTGCTGCCTGAGCGAAGAGGCGAAGGAGTCGAAACGAATCAATGCAGAAATTGACAAACAACTCCGCCGAGACAAGCGAGACTCCAGGAGGGAGCTCAAACTGCTTCTTCTCGGTACGTGGCATTTGCTCAATTCTCACGTACCTCTGATTTAAAAAAAAATTTTTTTGCATGGTCAACGTCTTGTGTCGTTATATGGAAAACTAAACGACTTGGGCCTTCTTGGCACTGCTAGCAAATTTGCTGCTAGTTAAGGCAGCTAGCTGCTTTCTGTAAGGAGTAATGGTTTGTGGCAAAATGGTAAATGCGTGCCTTTCTAGCCACTTGAGTCAAATTCGGTTAACTTGCCCAGCCGTTTGCATACGGGCAAGTTTAGACAAGTCAGCAGATATTAGCTTTAATTTGGTCTTTCTGTGCATATTCGGGTTTCTTCCCTCTTTAGGACTTTTTTTGGTAGAAAGACTGACCTTGTCAGGACCATTACTCCTCGTGGAGACCAGTGCCAGGACCTATTGAGAGGGATATTTGTATTTTAAGTATATGGACGTATATTGGACGTATGCTTTAAATCATTGTTTGGTATAACGTGTTGTTATGGTCAAGTTGTTAAATCTGTTTGACAGTGGTTGTATAATATTTAGATTTTTGGGGGTGAAAATTATTTAAGTAAAATTGCTTTTGAAAATTAAATACAAATAATAAAAATAAGAGAATATGTTACAATGATTGGTATAATAATAAGCCTATATTTGATCTTATTGTACTAAATTTTCCTAGATTTTCCAAAGGGAACTCCCAAGGGATTAATAAAGTGCTATCTATCCATCTAGAAATAGGTGTTACCATCTAACTGTAGTTGCAAATTAATAACAAGAAAGTTGGACAGAAATGCTTAATCTGGTTTTGGAAGCAAACCACTGAAACAACAGTCTCTCCACCAACGGTTCTAATTCATAGAGATTGTTGTTGTTGAAGACGCCAAAAACAAACTTGCAACATTACAGTGTCAACCTCACAATGTGTTACTATATTTTTTTGGTTAAAATTAAAGTACAGGGTCATTGCGTAAAATCCATTGGTCAGTCTTGTATGGTCTCCACTCGTAGACGTCTATTTTACTCTTAATTGAATACTTAAGTACAAATGATATCTTCATATAATAAGCACCTAAATTGTTTCTTAATACTAAAGTCTTTAGGTGATTTTAAATTTGGGTAACTTTTAATGCAAACAGTAGCTATATTGCCTATGAACATTAGTTAATACAAAAAAAAAAAAACAACAGTACTGCATGTCTTAGTTTTTTGGTTCACTGAACAAAAGCTAGGATATTACAAAAATGATCCCAGCTGATGTAAAATCGTTAAGAACTGTGTCCTCTAATGTTTCACTGTACGGTCTAGGATTGAGACAGGCTGAGGTTTCTTGAAGTCCAAATACATTAGAGTCTATACAAAACCTCACCAAGAATACTAAATCTGTGTGCGGGTTGGCGCCGTTGTGCACAATTTTTTCATTTGGCATCACTTCTAATCAGATATCACCCTTTAGAGAATGCCACGTGAGCAGGTGGCCGACTAGCCTTAAGCTAACCATTTGGCCAGCTTTAAAAATCATCATCACTTAAATCTTTATAGACAGCAGTGGCGGCAGCAGCTTTGGTTTGTATGACATTGTTTTATCAGGTTGCTGAATAACCGATTATCCTGAGTAGTAACCGTTCAATCGCAGCTCCCCCATCTAGAACAGGCTTTGTGTTTATTTATTTATTTCATCAATTCAATTTTTTATTGTGTAGACCGTGCCACAATCTAGCGTTCTTGTGGACAAGGATACTAATGGATTTGCCCCCTCTTCCTGGAGTCTAGCTGAGTGGGTTATCTATTTTTATAGCTGGTGTGTGGGCAGGTGGGAGCTGCTGTTGAACAAGTTATTCTGTGCTGCATTGATTCATAGTTCTGTGTGGACACAAAAGAGGAACATTTGATTGTGCTCTCTCTCTCTCTCTCCCTCTCTCTCTCTCTCTCCCTCTCTCTCTCTCTCTCCCTCTCTCTCTCTCACACTGGCTTTTGCTCAGCTTTCAAGGAGATGTGTTTTAGTCGATATGCAACACCAAATAGGTGAATGATGTGAGCAGTCAGCTCCCGTATACAATAGATTTGAAGCGCAAAAGTATTTGGGGATTTAAAAGAAGTCAGGTGTCCATTTTAGGACAATTAAGAGTATCTAGGTTGCATCCTTGGTTTCCTAGCTTTTGCTCTCATTTTTCGCCCATCAAAAGCAGCCCCTAGTTATTTGACATGTGTGTCTCTTTTCATTTCCCCGCTGAATACCTCAGCTTAGAAGTAGGCCACGCTATAGAGCAATACCTCCAACAGGACGGTATTTTAATTTGTGTCATACATACTTATTTAACTATTTTATGTGAGGTGGCCAAGGTGAACATGTGGAAAGGATGTTTCGTGCAGTAGTTTCAAATACCTGTGCTGCAGTCATTTTTCTATTTCTAGATGATCAATGACACAGAGGTTCAAGTAAAACATAGCAAGATATTTTTGGATTTAGGCAAGCTGTGACTCTTTATCAACTCTGGTTGTTGTGTTTGAGGTCTTATGGTTTCCAGGACATTTCTAGATTTGATAGACGACTCCAAAAAAAAAAAAGAAAAAAAAAAGGGAACACTTATTTTGAGTGCTCGTCCAACAGGTCTTAAAGAAAGCAAGAGCAACTGCCCTCAGTCATTCTGCAAGTGTGAGTTAAAGCTGTCAGTGGATGGCTGGATAAGGACGTGTAAAGCAGGATTAGCCCAGGTCTTAATAGGCTTGGTTAAACACATCCGCCGCTCAGGCTTTTGAGATGTCACTGACTCCTATTATCCTCTGACACTATTCTCAGGCCCGCAGCTCTCAGTGACCCAGCTCTTCTTTTCGCACAGGAGGATAAATTCCGAAAAAGGAACATTTCCACTTTTATTAGTTAGCCCATAAGTTAATTTCAGTGAATGCACTGGAGATGGGGTTTGCATTTTAACTGGCTGTATTGTGCATATTTGACTTGTGGCCAAATATGCACATTTAGATGCACATTGTGTTTTGGTAGTGAGTTGTAGCTTTATTACTAAAATATATTTTTCTTTATGGATGCATGTAATTCCACTTTTTTTTTTAAGGATTGATCCCTCCCATGCTGATGTGTGTCTGGATTCTTTTATAGAATGATTGATGTGGGGGACGATGAATCCCCAGTGTGAGAAGTTGGAACTACTGCATGTCCCTATGATTTACTTAAGGGGGTTTTTGCATGCATGAGAGATTTAAGTTGGATAAATTGAATCACATAACAGTATGGCTAAGCTCTTTTTTTTCTTTCTTTTACACAACTGTTTTTGCTTGTAAAATTCCCCTAACAACAAGCTTTTTTTTCCCAGGAGCTTTTGTCCACCTCCCTCCTCCTTTGTCCCTCTTGTTTCCTGGCAGAGTTTACTCTATGGCCAGGATGCATTGCCATAATAGCCATGTTGCAACTGAAACAGTTCTGAGGTTTTTGCCAGACAGAAGAATGAGCTATCCAGATTGAGAATGCCATGTGGTTGTATGTTAGGGTTAGTTTGTAGGTAAAAGCTATTACACCTACAAACTTAGCCACATGGTCAGAAAATAACAGCTCTGTCAGAGTTGCAACAGTGCCCACAGCCTAGCTGCCTGTCACTGAGGGCCATATCAGGCCATACCAGCAGCTTCCTGCTCCACAGACCAGTGGTTTGCCTCTACTTGGTCAAAACACAGTCTGCCAGAAGCTGGGGCCTTTGCTGCATTGGGCAAATGAACTGTTGATTTGACTGAACAGCCAGTAGATGAGTTGGAAAAACAAAATCTTGGATTTCTTGCACCATTAAAGTAAAAAAAAAAAATTATCTGACAACAACAATCTGATGTTTTTTTTTATCAAAAAACAAAAACAAAACAAAAACAGTTTGGCCATTGAAGCAGCATTTGTCCCTGAACTTGTGTTGGATGTGAACACACTGTAGCTGTTTCAGGAATTCATTCCTGGCCTTTAAATGTATCCTGCATGTGCATGTTTTGACCACTGGTGTTGGGAGCTAGCTTCCCACACCCACTGATGTCATGTCTTCTCATGAGAACAAAATTATGTTTTTAAGAAGAACATTAAATAAAATCAACTTGTATAAGAAACTGCAGAAGATGTGAATGGAACAAGGCTTTTATCTATAACTCATCAGGGGGCACTGTATTATTTTATGACCTGGACTGAACTAAAGTGAGCAAACTGCGAGTGTATGTGCACTTTGGGTTTTGTTGTAAAACTGAGTCATTTTAAAGGATGTCAGCTGAGGATACCGTCTTAATGCGTTTGATTTGATTTATTGGTTGTGTGTGGGAAATCTGTAAAAGCACATTCAAATGTGGTTTCGGATTCAGTCTGAGAAGGCATTCATGGTCATCAAAGCATCGGGTCTGTTCACATGTGATCGCATTATTCCTACTATGATGAATGTTGTCAGAAAAAGTTCAACTTGAGGTGATGAACAAGTATCTAACAAGCATTTTTCTGGTGACATTTAAAAATGATTGAAAAGGAAGAAAGCTGGGGTTTATCGATAAGGTTGCTGCGGCCTGAGCCACTCCCCTGAACCTGAGGGAGTGTCTTTCCTGAAATACTCCCTGAATGATGTTGTTGATCTCTGGCTGAGGGAGATGTCTTGTTTCCAGTTTGAGACGTCATTTAGAGGAACAGTCGGAGTCAAGAAAAGGATCAGGGGTCAGACTTGGATGTTTACGGCTGACCTCTCGTCTCCTGCCAGGTCATCTTATTTTGAGCATATATGGCAAAAGTGATGTTTTAGCTCCACTCAGTTTGGGGGTGTGTGAGTGTGTTTAAGTGCCAGAGGATGTTGAACCGTGGATTGATAGTTATTGCTGAATTTTTTTATAACAGTATTAAGGATATTTTACATCAAATTTCTATAATCTGACAAATGTTTTCATTCTGTAGGGTTTGTGTTGGTGTCGTTAATGAGGCTACAATGGCCTCAGACGGTCAAACGAATCTTTAGGGAAAAACATAGGATCCACAAGATTAAATGACAACGT